CAACTCCATCGGCGAGAGCAGCTCTAGCCGGATTTGGCGAGGGCTGCCCTCGCCCGCCCAGCCCAGGCGAGGGCGGGCCTCACCCGACCCCGGCGAGGGCAACCCTCGCCTACCCAGGCGGGGGTAGCCCTCGCCCGACTCCGGCGAGGGCAGCCTTCGCCTGAGGCCGGTGACCTCCGCCGGAGGCCGGCAGAGAGAAGAGAAAAAAAAAGAAAAGGAAAAGGAAAAGAAAAAAAGTGTAAAAATAAAATAAAAGTACTGTTTCGGTGCCGGAACAGTACTTTTTTTGGCCGCCGGCGGACATTTTGGCCGCCCGACGATCCAGACCCTTATTTGAGACTTTTTGATCACTTCGGGCCCTTATTTAAGACTGATTAAGCACTTCAAACCCTTATGTGACACTTTGTCCACTTTGGATACCAAATTGAGAATTTGACCCTACTTTGAGTACCAAAAATGAAATTTTCCCTTTAAAAAATAATAATATAGAACGAAGCCTTGGGGAAAAAACGAAGTGTATGTCCTTGGAGACGCAATTTGCTTTCCCAACTTGGTGCTCCTATTCTCCTTTGCTTCTGGGCCTTGGAATCTGTCAGATGAAAACCAGCGGCTAAATAAATATCTCCGTCACTTTCAACACCAGCATCTTCATTGCCCTTGCGAGCATGCCAGACTACTATACAGTAGAATCTATATCGACTTATATATGAAAATAAGATCCCTTGACAAACGCTTTCGTGAAGAAAGGAAAATTTACTATTTCCATTATTGGACAGAAACTATTTTGGTTAGTCATATACATACATTTCCATTTTTGTTTACTTCACAATATCATGCGAAAAGAATGAATTCGACATAATAGCATATTCACAACCCAATTATCGGCAAGTATTCTTCTCTATTTTAAGAGGCAGCTTTGGGGGTTAAAGTCAACCCTGTTAAAACGAACTTCACCATTACGAGATTCCTTGGAAGATCAACTGTTTACAGATATTTTGGGTTGCAAATTTGAATATTTCACTGTAGGAGGGGTAGATAGACTGATTCAGCATTCATATTCTGTCGTAAGGGCTAATTTACGTCCAATCCCAATTTATTAACTATTGTTTCCTTAAAAAAATCCGCAACTTTAGCTCCAACCGAAATTCTGCCCAAACTTTTTTCATCTAAAAAAAATCCTCAATTTTCACTCCAGGCCCAAATCTACCCACGTGTCCAAAAATGGCCACTAATTTCTTCAAGATTATTAACATCAGGAGGCCATGGTTGTTCCATACGAAGGTGAAAGTGTGGATGAAGACACAATTCTGATAATGGACCTCTAACTGGCCCTGACGTTAGAGGTGAGCGGTTTCAGGTTCCGTACAGGTTTCATCTGGAACTTGAAACCTACCTGTTAGAACATGTTCCTTATTTTTTGGAACTTGGAACCTACCTTGCTTACCTTGAAACCTAAAACCTACCTTGTTACAGGTTTCAGGGTCTACCCAGGTTCCACATGTATTATTAATTGAACAATTGCAGTAAATCGTCACCTTTAATAACTACCACTTGCTGCTACAATCCACTGACTACAACTTATATTTAAACACACGAAGAATATTAAATATTAACAAAGTAAAAGTCTCGGTCATAAAATAGAAGCTCAGACTAGTAGTTCCAAATTATATACTCATCATCGGACGCCATGGAATACCGCAGGATTGCGCGGAGATATAGACCAAGAAAAATACAAAAACTTGTTACAAGTTCCAAAGGTTTCACCTACCTAGAACCTGGAACCTCACATACCTAGAACCTAGAACCTACATGTCCAAACATGTTCACTAATTTTTGGAACCTGAAAACTACCTTGCATACCTTGAAAACTGAGAACCGGACAAGTTCCTACCGGTCCGGTTCTTCGATTTCAAGTTCTACTACCTTGCATACCTTGAAAACTGAGAACCGGACAAGTTCCTACCGGTCCGGTTCTTCGATTTCAAGTTCTACTCTAGAACCATGCTCACCCTTACCTGACGTTGATAATTTTGGAGAAACTAGTGGTAATTTTTGGACTTGTGGGCAAATTTGGAACTAGAGTGAAAGTTTGAAATTTTCTTGTTAGACAAAAAAAAAAGTTCGGAGTAGAAATGTGATTGGACCTAAGGTTTGGAATTTTTTTAAGGAATTAGACCTTCTGTTTTGTCAGTGAAAAATGTTCTCAGGAAAATTTTGGTAAAATCAATCGATCTTGTAAGCCAATCACAAGATTGATGGGCACAGTCCATTTCACAAATGGCATAAATGCTGTTCTTGGCAAAATAACGCTCAGTAGCGTCTGAGTCCCACTCACCTGCCTAGTGTTATATACGTATATATGTAAAATCAATCATGAAAGTGTCAGAAAAGTCCTAAACCTATTGCATTTGTGCCAATTTAGTTCTAAAAATTTTATTGGTGTCAATTTAGTCCTAAACCTTTTAACATAGTACCAATTTGGTCCTAAAACTTTTAACATGGTGCCAATTTAGTCACACACCTTTTAACATAGTGCCAATTTAGTTCTTTCAATTAATTTTGGCCAGATATTGCTGACGTGAACACCGGTCAGTCAACGTGGCACAGCCGGCGCTAACATAAACAACTTTTAATAATATTTTAATATTTTTTTGAATATTATTTTTATTTATTTTCTTTTTCTTTTTCTTTTTTTTTCCTCCCTCCCTTCTTCCTCTAGCCAATTGACGGACCTCAACGACTGGCCAGAGGCCAGGCAGGCGAGGTCAACCTAGCCGAATCTGGCAAGGTCAAGCTTAACCCATGGTCGGTGAGGCCGCCCTCACGGCCATTCGGCGAGGGCGAGCCTCGCCAGTGGCCACCGAGGTCCGGCGACCCACTGGAGCAAGAAGGGAAAGGGAGGGAAAAAAAAAAGAGAAAGAAAGAAAAGAAAAGAAAAAGAATAAATAAAAAAATTGAAAAATTGAAAATATTATTAAAAGTTGTCCACATTAGCACCAGCCGTGCCACGTAGGTCGGTCGGCATCCACGTCAGCAATATCCGACCAAAATTAGCCAAAAGGACTGAATTGGCACTGTGTCAAAAAGTTTAGGACTGAATTGGCACTACGTCAAAAAGTTTAGGACTAAATTGACACAAATGCAATAGGTTTAAGACTTTTTTGACACATTTTCCAAAATCAATCAATCTTGTGAGCCAATCACAAGACTGATGGAGACAAGCCGTTTTACAGATGGCATGAATCTTGTTCTTGACAAATTAACGCTACGCAACAATTAATTCCCATTCACCTGCTTCTTGACAAATTAACGCTAAGTAGCATCAGATTCCCATTCACCTGCCTAGTGTTTGCTGATAGGGTTCATGCCAAGTATGTATGGTATATAGTTGTGTATAGACAATTTTGATGTAATTTTAGTGGTAATTTTAGTTTAAAATGATAAGATATAATACTTGTATTAGATCGGTCTGACAAAGATTAACTGTCATTATCTTTGTTATGTATATTACTAAGTGATAGTTTATGGATTTGTGGGCAGATTTGGAACTAGAGTGAAAGTTCGAAATTTTCTTTTTGGACAAAAAAAAAAGTTTGGAGCAGAATTATGATTGGACTTAAAGTTTGGAATTTTTTTGAGGAATTAAACCTTCTGTTCTGTCAGTGAAAACTGTTCTCGGGAAATTTTTTGTAAAATCAATCAATCTTGTAAGCCAATCACAAGATTAATGGGAACAAGCCATTTTACAGATGGCATTGATCTTGTTCTTGGCAAATTAACACTCAGTAGCATCTAATTTCCACTCACCTGCCTAGTGTTACGTATATTTGTAAAATCAATCAATCTTGTGAGCCAATCATGAGATTGATGGAAACAAGCCGTTTTTACAGATGGCATGAATCTTATTCTTGACAAATTAAAGCTAAGTAGCATCTGATTCCCTCTCATCTGCCTAGTATTATATCTATGGCAAGATGAAAAGATCGATGGGAACAAGCCGCTTCACAGATGGCATGAATCCTGTTCTTAACAACACTAGGTAGCATCTGATTCCACTCACGTGCCTAGTGTTTGGTGGTAAGGTTCACCCAACAATATATATATATATATATATATATATATATATATATATATATATATATATATATATATATGTATGTGTATATATATGTATATATGTATATGTATGTGTATATATATGTATATATGTATATATGTATATATCAGAAAATATTAATTTTTTCGTGGTAATTTTAGTTTTAAATGATATGATACAATGACTTGAATTAGATTGGTCTTACTAAGATTAACTGTCATTATCAGTAAATGTTATGTATATCACTGAGTGATAGTTCATGGCTGCACAATGCAATCAAGTTTCATTATACTTAAATTTTTAATGCATGAATTATGATTTTTAATTTGCAGTTAGCTTAAGGTAACACTTCTTACATTGATTCATTATTGGAATTTACTGCTATATGAAGATTGTTATACTTTTATCTAGTTATGGATATTAGTAGCTAACGCTTTAGCAATTACAGTTATATGTTATTACGGTAAAAATTTGAACTACAATTATAAGATTAAGAAGTCTACCATGTGCTATTTACAATTATAAATATTTTAGAATTATGATTGAAAATTTGCTTTACATTTTAATTATCACTGAAATGGAACTAGAATTGTAGAGATTGAAATAATTGCAATCTTGAAGAGTTCGGGGGGAAAATTGTCTCCAGTGGAAATCATCGGGTTACTATCTTATGTAGACAGAAACAGAAGTCTTTATATTAATACATCCATAACGATTGAGACTACAAAAATCATCGAGTTGGACGTGACACCTTTTCCCTATCTGTCCTATGTCCAACCGAGACTGCAAAGCAAGAAGGGGATCGTATTCAATGTTTCCTTGCTGAGTCCACGTAAGAAAGGAATGTTCCTATGTTCTCTCTCCATTTGATGTGCGACGAGTATAAATATAGGCGACGAGGATCAATGTAGGCAGCACTCAAGTACCATTTCTTCATCGTTTCTTATCTCGTTGCCTACATTTCATCCAGGCTTGCTACTGTCAAATTTGGTCCTTCAGTATCACCAGTACTCCTGGTAATTTCGCTCTCAAGTTATTTTCACCATGCATGCATCGGTTTATTGTTTCATAGACTATCATATCAGTGATTTGTTTTTACCAGCACTTTCATTGCCTTTGCAAGCATGTTAGACTAATAGACATTGGAAGCACGTAAAATCTCAGACGAACCAATCGCGGACCTTGGACCCGTCCTCGGTGGGGTCCCATATGCATATTGATTTAGGCCTCATCTTGTAATGTGCGTGGATGATGAGAATTCCTATGTTCAACTGCTCATGTTTGTCCACCTCCTGTGATTTAGACCAAACGTTTTGTATGATTGGCTTTTCATTTCATATAAGGGGCTATCTAATTTATTTAGATGAATGAACTCTGCGCTTCATGATGGTCCTTACCTTTCGCTAATCAAAGGATTAGCTTTATAATGTTTGTTGTTAGAACTCATGTGTAACATTTTTTATTAAGGGTGAGCAACCGGGTCGGTTCAATCGGGAACCGAACTGAACTTGCCCAACTCTACACTTGTTCACACGAGAACCGGTCAACTCTCATGTAAAAATTCTGGGAACCAGCCTTAGGAAGAACTGGTTTGAAACAGTTTAGAACGATGCTAAATCTTTTATATCTAAGACCCTCACTACTTTCTTTTGGTTCTCACTCTCATTGCTAGCCTCTCTCTTAGACTCTCTAGTCTCTCCACTTTCCCCAGCAGTGCCCTCGATTTCTCTCTTTCTGGAGTCTTGCCAACGCCGTCTCATCTCATTTCTCTCTCTTGGTCTTGCCGACACCATCTCCTGTCCTCCTCTCTTGATCTCGCCGGTTGTGGCCTCGCCTTTGTTGGTCAGCCGTCGATCAGCCCACTATTAGCCAGGTTCGTTCTTTCTCATAGCAACTAATCAGAGAGCTTTTCTGAAGATGAATAGCCCGATGAAACAAAGATGCTTAGGGAAACTATCAACGTCTTTTATTTGGATTTAGAGATCTGACTTATATGGTGAAACATGGCCCTCAAGATCTACATATTTAGGCTATTTAGCCTTTTCCAAATTAGGCACATAAAAACATATAACATGTCCCGATTTCCAAAAATTCTAAATAGAGTTCAAAAGGTAAGATTAGCCAACTTCAAGAGCTGTTTTACCTTTCTACGTATGAAATTTAAAGTTGAAAGACATCCTCATCAGCTTGCTTTTATTAGCCCCCCGCACATTGGTACTTCAGTACCAAAATATAATTTCTTTTTTGCACAGAAAAGGTTTCATACTTCTTCATTCACGATGATACTTCATAATCTTTGTCTTTCTTTTTTATTCGGGCAAAAGCAGAGATTCATGAAGATAAATTTTCTTTACCACTTGAAGTTAGATGTTGAAGTTGCCCAGACAGCTATAATAATTTTCCATCCTTTTCAAGATCCAAATCTTATTACACTTAATACTCGATGTCTCTGGTAAACAAGTTGGGCATACACGTGAACGTGCACTGTCTTCTATGGAAAGCTTGTGATGAAACTAGGAAAATGGGCATCATCAGAAAAAAGCTAGGCTTTGTTCTTTAGCCCCCTTCAGGCGAAATTTTTATTTGCATCTGCTGAGAAAAATAAACTTTAATTTTCATTTTCTGGACCACGTGGGAGGTTTAACTATGGTTTGCCAATACCTAGCATTTTTTTTTAATTAAACAGGGTCGGCGGTAATTACTTTTTATAAGGCAAAGACTTACTTATCCCATGAATAAGTTACAAACCACATGTTATATAAGATTTACTATTACATCGCAAAAACCATCAGTTTTGTTCAAAGTTGTCTTTCTATATATATGGGACGATAAGAATCAACCTAGAAATGTTACCTTTTATATAAAACGTTAGTAATCATGAAAACAGGTTAGTACTTTTTCATTAGCTGAAAGCCGAATTTCTTGTAGAAAGTTACTGATCACATGAAATTTTGTTAGTTACTTACATACTTACAAGTCACATAATTTCTTTCGGAAATCCTAGTGAGAAAAGGAGGAATTAGAAGGAAATGAAATGACATAAAATTAACTTGGCATCCATAAATGTTGAACATGCAACTAATGTGGAAGGGGAGTTATGAGATCCATCAGCTAATCATTATTAGGTATGAATAGAATGTGCAACTCCATGCCATAGCGGAGCTCGAGCCATTAGATCGGACGATCAAGGTAATGGTGGTGGACGACCATGGGTCAACGAATGCCACCAAAGGTCTAGGCGGTAGTGGGCATCGATGGAGGACCATTGGAGGAGCTTTGGCCAAGCGATGGCGAGATGGATGACGATAAACAATTGTGAAGAAAAAAAAAGAAAGAAAGAAAAGGAGAACATAAATAAAAATAAATAAATAAAAAGACGGCGTTGTTTTGTCCACGTTAAATCGCCAACCGTAACATGTAGGATGGCCAACAATAAGTGGACCACCACGTTACTAATTTCAGGTGATAATTAGTATGAAGTCACCAATTTCAAGTGATAATTAGTATGAAGAATTATATTGAAATTTCACGTAAAGATTTATGACTATATTGATAAAATTGAAAAGCGTAAGACTCGTTAGAATTCGTAAAAATGGTTTGTGACTAAATTTCGTAATTTTCCCTAGAAGTCTCTAGCCTTCGAACTGACTGGATTAATATCTTCTGATGCACAGAGAAGACAAACAAAGAGAGAGAACAAAAATGGCGGAAGCTGTCATCGTCAGCCTTGCTGGAGAGATCATTACTAATCTGATTACTCAATCACTAGATAAGGTTGGAAAGTTGTGGGGCAACAAGCATGAACTCGAGGTGCTCAAGGACACTGTCTCCACTCTTTGGGCTGTATTGGACGATGCAGAGGAGCAATCCCACCAAAGTCGCCAAATTCGAGTTTGGCTTGAGAAATTGAAAGAAGCATTCTATGATGCGCAAGATGTCCTTGAAGAATTCAATATTGAAGCTACACGACGAGAATTGAGGGAACACAATGCAATGATCAAGGAGGTAAAGGCATTTTTCTCAAGTTCAAACCAGCTTGCTTTTAAACTAAAGATGAGTTACAAAATAAGAGCAGTGAGGGAGAGAATAGAAGCCATTAATGCTGGTAGGAGATTCCACTTGGCCGAGCGCCCCGTGGATTCGCGAGTAGAGAGAGAGTGGCGGAAGAGAGAAGAGACACATTCGTTTATACGTGAGGGAGATATTAGAGGGAGAGATGATGATAAGAAGAAGATCATAGCATTCTTATTGGATTCAAACGTGAATGAGAATGTTTCCATCCTTCCGATAGTTGGTATTGGTGGGCTTGGAAAAACAGCTCTTGCTCAATGTGTGTATAATGATGAGATGGTCAGTAAACAATTTAACTTGAAAATGTGGGTTTGTATCTCTAATGAATTTGACACGAAAAATATAGTGAAAAATATCATTGCTTGTGCAAAGGAGAAAGAACCAACCAAGGTTTCGATGGAACGGTTGCAAAGTGAACTGAGGGCCACAATTGATGGAAAGAGATATCTCTTAGTTTTAGATGATTTGTGGAATGAGGAAGAAGAAAGATGGTCAAGCTTGAAAACTTTATTGGTTGGAGGAGCTAAAGGAAGCAAGATCCTTATAACTACACGCCTTCCTTCGGTTGCGAAGATCACCGGCACTGCTTCGTCTCATCTTCTTGGGGGCTTATCTGAAAGTATGTCTTTTGATTTACTAATGCACATGGCTTGTTGTAAAGAAGAGGAATTACAAGATCCTGACATGCGAGCTATTGGTAAAGATATAGTTAGAAAGTGCTCTGGGGTTCCGTTGGTTGTTCGAACTGTTGGGAGTTTACTCTCTAAGAAAAGTAAGCACGAATGGTTGAAATTCAAAGAAAATGAGCTCCCAGATGTGTCTCAAAGGGAAGACAACATAAAATTAGTTCTTAAGCGTAGTTATGACCATCTTCCTTCACATTTGAAACAATGTTTCATGTTTTGTTCATTGTTTCCCAAAGATTATGAGATAAAGAAGCGGACTTTGGTCAATCTTTGGATGGCAGGAGGATTTATCCAGCCATCAAATAGAAGTCAGCATTTAGAAGACATTGCTCATGGATATTTCATGGATCTACTTTGGAGCAACTTCTTCCAAGATTTTAAAAAAGAACCTTTCACGAACGAGGGGACTTGCAAGATGCACGATTTGATGCATGATCTAGCTTGCTTAGTTGCGGGGACCGAGTATTGGGTGGCATTGGATGACACAAAATCCATACATGAAAGAGCTCGTCATTTATCTCATCGTTTAAATTCCAATATTATGGGTGAACTTCCAATCTCACCCTTGAAAGCAAGCCCCCTGAGAACATTTCTGTCTGTCGCTAGATATCGGGAAATTGGATCAAGAGGACCAACAAGTGAAGCAGATCTACGCCTACTCATTCAAAGTTTCAAAAAGTTACGCATATTGGGTCTGTATTACACATATGTCGGGAAGGTGCCAAGGTCCATTGGTAAGTTGAAGCATCTCACGTATCTCGATCTCTCTTACAATTTAGAACTCGAAAGGCTTCCTAACTCCATTACGAGATTGCAGAATTTGCAAACACTTAATCTCAAATTTTGTTTCCACCTTAAAGAATTGCCGAAGGATATAAGGAAGTTAGTCAACCTTCGAAATCTAGACATAGATGATTGTCATGAACTTGGTTATGTGCCATACGGACTAGGGCAATTGAGTTCTCTGCATAGGCTAACGCGCTTCATTTTGCCCGACGATAAAGCTCTTGCTAAGGATTGTTGCGAACTTGGGGAGCTAAATGGGCTTAATGACATCCGAGGAAGCCTTAGCATTGAAAATTTGGGAAGCGTGACGGATGTGGTAGCAGAATCCAAGGCAGCGAACTTGATAGGAAAGCATTCTCTGGAATCATTGCAACTTAAATGGGGGGATTTCGATACCGATAATGCAGTAATCGGGAATAGAGATGAAGCGCTGTTAGGTGGACCGCAGCCGCACTCAAATCTGCAGAAGTTGACGATCTGGGAATATAAAGGTGAGAGCTTTCCAAAGTGGATGACGGAAAACCTTACGGCTTCCTTGCCAAATTTAGTCGAGGTACGCATCTTCTTTTGCGGAGGATGTAAACGTCTCCCTCCACTAGGCCAACTACCTCGCCTCAAGTCTTTATGGATTTGGAGGATGCCTGAATTGGAAGACATCGAGCCAAGCCATTCATCCACTTCAACACCACCATTTCCTAGCCTATTGGAATTAGAGATCAGTGGCTGTATGAAATTGAAAGCCATTGCACAAACTCCACGTCTTGAGAAATTGACGCTGGCTGCGTCCAACCCAGCATTGATAAATATGATATTTGAGCTCAATAAGTTGAAGAGCCTGGGAATCGAGAATATGGAGTTTCCAGAATGTTTGCTTGAGGAGTGTTTGAAAAGCCTCACCTCCCTCGAGTTTCTTCGCATCGATGGATGTCATCGGTTAACTTCCCTCTCGCCGCAGCATCTATCGAACCTCGTGGAACTCCATATTTGTGATTGTAAGGAGTTGGATTTATGCAAAGACGAAAGCGGCAACATCAACAACGACTTGGATTTTCATGGAGGACTTCAGAATCTCCGCTCCGTGGTTCTCGATCTCCTTCCAAAACTGGCGTCTCTCCCGCGGTGGCTTCTACGGCTCCGCAATGTCGAGCACCTCGATATTGACAGTTGCAAGAATTTGAAGGATTTACAAGATCTCGAGGCCCTCCAATCGCTTCAGCGGCTCGCAATCGGCTCGTGTCCCTCGCTGACGTCATTACCCGAAGGAATGCGAAGGCTCGCATCCCTTACTCACCTAGACATCTGCGGTTGCCCAGAATTGGAGAGGAGGTGCAAGAGAGATGGAGGCGAGGACTGGGACAAGATCGCTCATATCCCCCGCATACAACTTGGACCATGGTAGATCGAGCCCCTGATTTTCTTTACTGAAGGTATGTATGTGGGGGGCACCTTGTTTCCGCATACATCCTTTGAGCTGTCATTTGGGCCAATTGAGGATTTCTCAATTGCACTGATTGCTATTTGTCATAGTGGCCAGGGAAGCTTTCATATTGATATGATAGGATAGCAAATTTCTCAAGAAACAGATGCTCCTATTGGCATGCATTATAATGTGATTTTGTCCGGAAATAATATGAAGGTAGAACCGTTTGAGGTGCAAAATACATGGACTGGTGAATTCTGACCGGGGTAAAGAGGAGTGATGTCTTACTCTTGAATCGATTGAGAGCCTAGAAGGTCATCCCTTAGATGGATTACTTCTTTGCCATGAACTAACATTAAAAAGTATGAGGAAAGAATAAAAACAGAGAGCAATGAGGTGTTTGGTGAGTGCTTTTGCATATATGTGTGTAAATGAGTGAAGAGTAGAGAAGTGTGTATTTTTTAGCTAAATCTTCACAGCGCCATGCTAACATCTTCTCTGTTTAGTATTCATGCTTTGACATCGTCAAAATATCAGTCCTCGTTTTATAGGTGGTGAATTGGTCGTTGTCCATTCTTGCACATGAGTCCTATATGAAACTAAATCAATACTGAATTATGTTTGCCAAAATTCGAGTATAACCGTGTTGATTCTGCTGGTCATATGCTTATTGTTGGATTAAACTTGTTATATACTCTTCTTGTTGGATTAGATTTGTCATCTTTTTCTGCTAGTGCTTAAAATGTTTTGTTTACTGGACATGTCTTCCTTGTGAATGAGCAGTGGTGTCTGCTTAAATCTGCTGAATACGCTACCGAGAGCTTGTCTCTTAAAATAGAAGCTCGCTGACTGCACTTGACAAGGCCACAATCATAACTATGGACTCTCTATCCTTCTCTCAGCATTTCATTGTCTTCATTACATGTGCTTCTTCTGTCCGTCCATCATTCGCATTTTTGTTGTTGCTCTGTTTCAAGGCCCCACGAGGACGGAGTCAAAGTTGTACTGCACTGGGTGAAACTCCTGCTCTTTCCGCATCCGCATTGCTCTCAGCTTGAAAGGTTTGAGTACGGGTAGATGCATGTAAATTTGGTAAGGAAAGATCAATTCAGTACAGGTGAATCCTTCTTTGCCGATTCTCTTTTTTTTTGTTTTCCCTTGCTATCCAGAGTTGGTATTATGTTGTGATCGTATTTGGAAAGCTATTCATGCTAAAACTTCCGAAGGTCTGGCCATTACTATCCATGCTAAAACTTCCGGCTGTAAATTATAGAAAGAGCTCAGAAATTTAGGTGGAAATAATGGGACGGTGAAAAATGTTTCTAAGGTATAATTGAAAGCAAAAAATTAATGAAGTTTCGACGGTTGGAAATCATAGAAAAAGGAATTTGGGTTGACGTAGAGGGATGCCACGTGGATCTAATTCATACGTAGTAAATGAATATTTTAATGTTTATTTTGTATTGTGTGAAGAAAATTATATAAAATTATGAAGTCCTCTCCTTTGGAAGCTCTCGATCCTAGACAAGAGCTTCATCATTCACTTTAGGGTTAATGCCGCGAAAAATCCTAAACTAGTACACCTGTGATAATTTTACCCAAAATTAATTTTGACCATAAAAAACCCCAAACTAGTACACTTGTGACAAATTTACCCTCAGTTTATTTCCGTTAAATTTTATTGTCAAATTGCTTTGTTAAATGACACGTGACAATTGACGGATGTACCAATTTTATGTTTTACCCTCCGTTTGTCATAGGCATACCGGTTTATGATTTTTTATGGTATTAATTCAATTTAATGGAAACTAATAGAGGGTAAAATCGTCACAAATGTACTAGTTCGGGATTTTTTATGGTCAAAAAATTAGTTTGGGGTAAATTTATCACAGGTGTACCAGTTTGAAATTTTTCATGGTCAGAAAATTAGTTTGGGGTAAAATTGTCACAAGTATACCAGTTTAGGGTTTTTTGAGGTATTAAGCCTTCGCTTTATAAAGGGAAGTAAGACGTCCCAAAAAGAAGTTCGATTTTTGTACGGCCTCTATGATTAATATTGATAACTCTTTTTTTAACTTGTTTTTAATAATTCAGAGATATTGATGTGAAAAGCCGACTATCTGAAAATTTATAGAATATTCTGCAAACCCCACGAATTTAGTTCTTCTTGTTTAGGATTAAATTTATTATATTTGTTTTTGTGGTACGTGATAGAAGTTTGAACGGCAAGATGTCATTGTCTCTCCTCTCTACCTTTGTAAGTAATATAAATTGGGCTGATTAAACTTATATTGCTATCTCTGATAGTGCCCATCGAACGTTGAAATTTACTGGAATTTCAATGGATCTCGGAACTCCAACTTGAGGCTTGACTCAAGGAAAACTTATTAATTCAACTCTCTTGAGGGAGGATAATAAAGTGATTCTGTGGTGTCATCCCCCATTAGTAGCGAGACACTTACTTTAATATTTATTTCGTAAAAGCCGTGTTTAGTATGTCATTGGTACGCGATTATGTTTCCTTTTTTCTCATTTGCTATCAACATCACCTTTGATATTGATATTTATTTTTCAGAGCTTAACTCCCTATCCAATTTAATGGCGTGAAGAAAAGACTCATGGTAAAGGCAAATTACGAATGTGAGATCATCAACATGGTTGGTTGAGTTGGGTAAAATTTACTTGCATGTGATTTAAAACCTTCTTGATCATAAGTTTGAATTCCCTAGTCAATCATCAATCTCAAGAAATCGCGGTTCGTTTTTTACATAGGTTTGGTTTGTACAACAAGCATAAGATAACCCCAGCTTTAATGCAACTTGTATTTGGTGGTGTGATATTAAAAATTCGCTCAAAATAAATAGTAATTACAGCTGCCGAACATTTTGACTGGACGTGTGGGACTTATATAATAATGCATAAAAGATTCGCCATATCAAATGTTACTTCCAATCCTTTTTACCCTTGAAAAAGACGTGTTGCTATTTTCACCTCTGTATGACTAATCAATCCAATTTTTACTTAAAAGATAAAATTGCATTCAATCATTCGATTGCAATTAAAATTGTAGGCCCCAAATTTCTTTACTCTCCTTCTTTTAGTTATGGTAATTAATAATTTCACATAATTTATTTTTGTGTATAGTGAGTGTCTCATTGCTTTGTTAACATTTGTTTTAGTTTGATGTTTGCGATTGTGGTCTCGTCGTCGTCGTCCATTGAGAATTCGGTAATGGATCTCGAGAACTAGGACTGTCAAAGAAGTGACAATTCAGAGCAACAGGAAGCGAGTCAGAGACGACAGGTTGGACGAGATGGAATTCCAATCGGAGGTGAAGAAGCTCAGGGATGACACCGATCCCAAGCCCGTTGCTCCAGATGTGGACTCTCATGCGGAGCTTCTAGGATGATATTGCAGCGCCGGGGGCAGTGGTCGACCTCATGTCGGAGTCCGGCGACTCGGAATCGGCGAACAGGTACCTCCTAGAGGCTTTGCACGACGAGCTTTGGTCTCCCGCCTTCAACCACCACTTCGCCTTGCAAAGTCGTGAGCGGTGAGGCCGAGTTGGTACGGGTCACGTCTGAGTCTTCTGGGATCGGCGAGTTCTGGGAGTTCGAGGATCGGATCCCGAGTTACGATGACTCGTTCCAGCTAGGAGCTGGAGACACGTATGGTGCAGGAGACGAGGAGGGCCAGTACATGTCGTTCGGCTACTCTGACGCGGGTTTTGGTCTGTTGGATCTGTCGGGTTTTTCGGGCCAATAGTAGACCACGCCGATGCTATGGGCGGGATCAAAATGTTCTTCCGTGAGTCGGCGGACGCTGATTTGCATTGCGATATCTCAGTATGTCAATTGGGGGACATGGACAGATAGTTGAAAGGGTTGGACACATCCTTTGATGCATGTCTTTACAGGGTGTGGAAACATTGACGTCCATGCTGTTCCTTCGGGATGGCTCTCAAAGGGAAAACACCCGCACATGATTTTAGAAGCCGACAAGGAAAACTCTCGCAGATGAAGTGATGAAATGTTGCTTTTGGAGAATGGCTTCTGATTTGCTTCCCTTGAAAATAACTTTATCGCAATGTATTTGCATAGAATCAATATTTTTTTTCATTAATTGCGTAATGAAACGGAAGAGTCATCCGCCCATGGCTTTTGAGTAAAGGATTGCTTGTTTGGTTGTTTCGCCTGCTTGAACTTGGTATAACTTGGACGAATGCATTTGTTTTCATGTTGCCTTGTCTATTTTTAGGTTCTCCATTTCCGTCCTCTTCACACTAACACAATTCCTCAGTGGATAATTATTATGTCAAGATACATTACTTAATTTAATCTTGCATGAAAGTATAAATAATCGGTGGAAAGGAAGCAAAAGTGGTTGCGCTACACTTCGCAACAAGAGAACTCCCATCCATTCTTGATCTGTAAAACAGACTTTTATATGGCGCCTATCAACTGACACTCTGATTCATTTAACTAAATATTATACATTTTATTGAAATAACTGCTAAAAGAATTGATGACAGGCGACAGGCAAAACCATCCCTAAAAGTAAGAAAACTCGCTCAAATGGCACAAGCAACGGCTCAAGGCAACTGCTTTGTTTTTTTCATGACTCTTGAGGAGTTGCCCTTACAGCACAGCAATAGCGACTGAGCTTAGCGGTGCTAGAATTGCTGTGCTAGAAGCGGCGCTATAATTGCTGCGCTAGAAGTGTGAACGAATTTGGGGCTAGGTTTGATCCATCTACAGTTGGTCTTCTTCCATTAGGGTTGCTCTATAATGGGCTGGGTACATTTGTTGTCCAAACCTTTAGTTGCGTAACTGATAAGAATTTCATGTGGTATCCTGTGCACAAATTGTTTTAAATGGGATCAAGTCATAAAAATTATTGTGTTTTTTTTTTATTTTTTATCTACGAACAATACATAAACATACCACCCGTCTGGGTGGCGCTGCTGGAGCGCGCACTCTTCCTCTCGCAAAAGGTTGAGTGTTCGAA